AATTTTCCACAAGGGGGCCTGGAAAGATGGCTCAGTGGTTAAGAATACTGGCTGTTCTTGCAGAAGACCCAGGTTCAAATCCCAGCACCCACACGGCAGCTAGCAACAGTCTATAACTCCAGTTCCAGGGGATCCGAAGCCCTCTTCTGTCCTCTGCGGGCATTGCATGGCACGGGTGAGTTTGCATACATGCAGGCAATACACACATACACATAAAATAAAAATAATAATTTTTTTTAATTTCCAAAAGGTTACTTTTATAAAGAAACATTTAAAAGATAACAAGTTGGGCTAAGGATGCTGCTTGGTGGGAGCAGCTCTTTGCCTAGTGCTCTACTTATTTTCTATTGCTGTGCTAAAACACTCTGAACAAAACCAACTTGGGAGGATAGGGCTTATTTCATCTTACACTTCCAAGGCACAGTTCATCTTTGAGGGAAATCAGGCAAGAACTCAAAGCAGGAACCTGGAGGCAGGAACTAAAGCACAGACCATGGGAGAATGCTACTTACTGGCTCACTCCTCTGGTCTGTGCTCAATCTGCTTTGTTCTATAACCCAGGACCACCTGCCCAGGGGTGGCACCACCCGCAGTGGGCTGGGTCCTCCCACATCATTCAACAATCAAGAAAATGCCTCATAGACATGGCCACAGACCCATTCAATAGGAGAAATTCCCCAGTTGAGGTTCCCTCTTCCCAGATGTGTCAAGTCGACAACTGAAGCTGTCTAGCACACCATATCATGTAGGACTCTCTGTGTTTGATCCCTGACATCATAAATAAAAAGGAACAAAGCATACATCTAGAAGTTCCAAGCAAACCACTTTAAAAAAAGCATCATTAAGTATTATTGTAATGCAGGATTGTTCTTCTTTTCTTACAGCTATACAAGGCACAGATACTGTGTACTTTATGGCATGATATCATTAACCTCCCTATGACAGCTACCAAACCAAGTTTTATGAGAGAAAGTTCTTAAAGCCTCCCAATTCAATGTCATGATGCCTCAGCATAGTGTGGTTCAAAGGCTATTTCCTAAAGAACCAAAATTATCTGATAGTTTTCAACTCCATTGTAAGTAGATCAACACCACCAACATGCACTTTTACATATATGCATACATTTGTGTGTCTATATGAATGCATGCGTATGCACAGCTATGTGTCTATACACTTTATCTTATTTTAAGGTATTGTTAAGAACATCCCTTGACAATATGCAGCCAGAAACCAGGGTTACAGGAGAACAATGTGTGAACTTTTGAAAGTTCTACCTATTAGAAGGTTTAAGGTAAGTAGCCATCTGTCAGGGGATTAGGGCAGTCTGGCAGACCTATGGCTGGTATGCTCTGTTTTTAAAGTATAATTATATGTAGCTAGATTTTAACAGCCACTTCCATCTTATTGATAGAGTTTTATTGAGAGAATTATTTAAGAATCCCCCAAGACTACATTCAGACTAGCAACCCAGCCTGAAATACAGTTCTGTTCTGCTCCATTCAGTTCTGAAAGTATTTATCGCATGCCTACATGGCACATGTGACAGCACATTCAGAAATCATGACAATAAACGCTGACTGAGAGAACTGGGTCACAGGTCTAATAGAATATGTGATAGAGTTGCAGCAATAGAAAGAGAAAACACAACAACAAACCGACAGACAAATTCCTTGCTGTGCCTGAAAGGAGGCAGTAAGGCAGCACATTCATTTCCAGGGAAGTATCACTTGAAATAAGCCAGTGAGGAAGTAATGTCTGGATGGAGATGGGCTTAGAGAAGAAAGAGCAAGAGGAACGGAGGTGGGAACATTTGATGAAAGTTAAAGAACATAGGGGGTGAGGTGGGGGGGGTGATGGGATGGGGAAGTGGCTCAGTCCATAAGGTCATGGTCTTCAGATAATGGAGAAGAGACTAAAGTCTTTAGATCTCAGCTGTTGGTCAATTCACTTCTCTGTAAAAACAGTGTTTCTGCAATAGGAGACACATTTAGAAAGGAAAAAAATATGCATTTTTCTACATCTCTGCATGGGCCTACTTGATTCGGGCAGAGAAGAAACCTGTTTGGAGCATAGTAATATCCTCCATTTCTAATTTCCTTCAAGCACATTCTCACTGAGGAGAACCAGGCTTTGGAAACATCTCTTTCTTAAATAGGAATCTTATATAATGTATGATTATAATAGTTATAACTATATATACATATTATATGATTTAATAGCTCTAAGCCTCCATGCAGATGTACATGAATGGATGGATGTGCATATGAGTGTTCTAGACCACATATGTGTCACATTACAAACTCATTCGAACTCAGGCTACAACCTGCAAGTATTCTCTCAAAGAAAAAGTTCTATTCTATTTTTAAATATTTTGTAGGAAGTCACAAGTCATTGACAGATAAGGATAATCAGCCTGCTGTTTGTCCAGTTTGGTCTCACCCATCCTCTTTTTGTAGCAAACACTTACTTGGATCATCCGTCTGTTACAATATTTTACTCTGGATATGCATATGCTAACAGAAATTTTTAGCAGCAGTAAGTCAGCAGGACAAGGTTATAACAAATACTACAAATTAGTAATGTTGCAAACCAAGTTGTCTAACTCCATTGGAAATGAAACATAAAAATTTCCAACCAGAGAAATGACAGCTAAAATAAGAACAAATGATATATTAAACATGAACTACTTGTCTCTCTAACATAGAAATATTAGTGATAAAAGAAATTAGCAGTCTTTCTGCCCTCTGGTGGTAATAAAATCAATTGCAGCATTTAGCAAAGTCAGGCATAGTAAAATGTCCCTGTTATGAAATCAGATGTTTCTCCTTTGCCAAAATGTCTGTAATAAAACCCTGATTGCTACATGCCACATTTCAACTTTTGAACTTTCTCCTGGCATTTAACTTATTTTACAATAGAAACTGGAATTATTTTCCTTTGTCGCACCTTCTTTTGCAGAATGGCCGCTTAATTCTAAGGACATTTCATAAAACTTCACATAGTCTGACATCCAGCAAAACTGCTATTTCACTTTACAATACAGTCTTTAAAGAATTACCAAAATAATTAATATTCCTTTCTTTTCCAACCCATTCTTGTGAGTTTACATGGTTCCACCAAATCTGCTGAATTCCTTTAAAATACTGGTACATTTATCTTGACAATTTAGACATTTTATATTCCCGAAGGCAAACGCTTTTCATTAACTGGTCAGTCCTGGAATGGAATGAATTTCATTCCCAGTCTGAAAACTCAGACTAGCAAACTTATCTTGGAGGTCTGTGTATTCTATTCTTAATAACAGTATTAATGAAAAAGGTTCAGAAAATGATTGCTGACCTTTAATTTACTTTTGTTGTGAATGCATTATTGACTTGCCAAAGAAGTTTTTAAACAAACAACTTGGGATACATTTTGACATACACACAGGCACTCTAATTTCTTATGAATTTGCTTGAAGCATTTACCTCCTCCAAATATGCTCATGAATCTTTAAATACATGTGTTGTTTCTTCAAGAAATAAAAGTATTATTCTTTCAGCCAATTGCAATGTACCAGGAAAATAAACAGAAGGTGTCGTGTACTGATACAGATCATACACAGTCGAGAACTTAAGTCCATTCATGGGGACAATTGCAAGTGATAAACAAAAATCAACAGCCAGGATGTCTGCATTTTAATCTCAGTTTTTTCCATGTGGTCTTCATCCCTTCCACCCACCTCCCACGCCTGGCCCCCAACACATATATCTCGCCAATCCTAAATACCAAGAGAGTTTCTGCTTTCTCTGTAAAAATTTACACTGAGGATAGACACTGCTTTGAGTCTCTTCTGGGTCTCATGGTGGTAAAAATTTATTTTCATTCCCTTACCTGGAATCCCCAGGTAAACCCCACCTTTCTTTCTGTGACTCATTAGGGCTTGAAAACTGGATACATGCACTTTCTGAGGAAGCATTTACCATCCTTCAAATTAAACACAGACATACACAAAGCAAAATACAACAAAACTGATCTCCCTAACCAGGAAGTTTTCCTTTGTTTTTTTCTTTCCTTCCAAGTGCTCATTTCAGCCCCTCTGGGAGTCCATAGGAGTTTACAAATTTCTGTAGTGGTCTCACTTTCACTGGAGGGCAGACATGGGGAGGAGACTGCGGGCCTCAGTGTGCAGGGTGGCCTGGGGAGACAGCCTGGCATAGCCAGCACCCAGGAGTCTTTGGCCACCACACACCTGGCAGGGCAGCCACCAGGGCAGGGGTGGAGGCCAACTGCGAGGATCCGCAGGCCCGCCTCCTGGTGGGGACAGGACCCAGGAACTCCGAGGAACCTCCAACATGTTCAGGCCTGTAACGAAGCTGACAGACCGAAGACAATGGGGCCAGGTGTGGGTCCCCAGAGGCATGCCCGCCCCCATCTTTCTCGTCTCCGTCCCACCCCCGAGCCCGGCTGCACCTACCGCACCCCACTTCTCAGCCCCACATGTAGAAAGCTAGTGGGGATCGCCTGGAGGAGGGCTCTGCGTCCACACGGAATTTTCTATTGGCAGGGGGAAACCAGCCATCCCTTGCTGTCCCCACATTCCCCATCCACCCCTGCTGCGCTCAGCTTAGTTCCTCTGAGCTGCAAGAGAAGCCAGAATGGAAACTAGGGGGTGACCAGTTCCAGGGCGCGGGATCCACAGATTTGCTCCTACACCGGTGCTTTCTGGGACTACTTGGGGTGGAGGGGAGACAGTAGCACCCCTGCCGCCCAGGTTAAGGGAGCCCAAAAGCCTCAGGAGAGCCCCAATCTCTAATATCTTGGGTCTTGTCGCCGTCTTCTCTTTGGGGAAGCTCAAGTTTCCCCGAGTTACTGCAATAACTTTCCCAAGGGCAGACAGATGAGGTAGGGGTGGGGTGGGAATGGAGGTGCCGGAGTACCAGGGGGATCATCAGCTACACACACACACACACACACACACACACACACACACACACAAATAGAAAAAAAGTGCATCTTACCATTGATTTTGTTTCCAGGGTCCCCATGGGCGAACTGGAACCGGTCGGTTAAAAAGTGACAAAGTAACACAACTCCTGCAGCGGCCAGGTCGGCCCTCGAGAACCTCGCCATGGCGCGACAGTCCTCCCCAACCCCGCCAGTCCTTCCTGGGCGCCCTGGGCTCCGACACGGATGGGGCTCCGCGGACGGGCGCTGCCGAGGGGTCTCGGGTGGGATCCCGAGGCCTGGGCAAATTTCGCTGGGATCTCCCTCCCGGGAGCAGAGCACTGGCGGCGGGGAAAGGCACCGGGAACCCAGCGGTCTCCGGACCTCGGAGTCTGTCTTCACAACTTGCCCCACTCTCAGCCCTCCGCAGACCGCGAACCACCACCCGCGGGCAGCGAAGGCCACTGGCAGCCAGGGCTGGCCAACTCCGCGGTCCACACCCGCAGCGGCTCCCGGTCGCCCGCCAACCGGGACTTCCGAGCGCCCAAGATGCGCTCCGTTGGGCTCCGAGCAGCTCGGATTCCACGGCCAGCGCGGGTGCTTCTCTGGATCCAGGAGGGCTGGCGGCACCGAGGAACTTTCCCAGACTCCGGCTGGGCGTTCGCGGAGGCTGGAGGAACCCCTCCGACAAGTTTTTCTTCTTTGCTTCGCCCAGCTCAGGGCGCGGGTCCTCCGGGGCAGCGGAGGGATGGGCAGCCGGAGAGCAGCGCCCTGGGAAGGTCCGGAAAAAAAAAAAAAAAAAAAAAAAAAACGTGTTTTGAAAAGAAGAGAGGGGAAGGAGCAAGGGGGCGGGGGGGCTGCACCGAGGCGGAGGGCTCCTGGGTCGCAGGCGGAGGCTCTCCGAGCGCCGAGACCCCGGACTTTGGTGGCCGAGGCACCGCCGCCGTCGCTCTCCGGCTCCACACTTTGGGGAGGGAAGAGAGGGAAGGCGGCTTGCAATTTGCCAGATCCGCGGCGGCACCCTCCTCCCTCCTCCCTCTTCCCTCCCACTAGCTCCACCAGGCTTCTCCCACCTTCCTCCCCTGTTACAAACCAGCAGCCGGCACCGACCTGTCCAATGGCTGTGCTTTCATCCGGGGCCGCCAGACAAGTCGCGGACAGATTCAGCCGGGGAAGCCAGCCAAGCCCGGGCCGGGGTAGGGGGGTGGGGGGGTGCGTACCCCAGCCCCGAGCGCCCCGGGATTGGCCCGGGATGGGATCGCGAGGACCGCGGTGCGCGGGGCGGTGGTACCCCGGGGTGGCCGGGACGCCATGGGCCCTCCTGGCTTGCGCCCTCCGCATCCCAGCCAGCGTCGCCGCACCCACCTGGCTCCCCGACTCCTATGTGGGGAATCTGGGCGCACTGCAAGGTGGCGGTGTCTGCCTGGAAGCTAAAGGGTTAATTACAGTTCATCCATCTCCCCAGGAGCTGGTAAAGCAGGGGTTGGGGTGTGAAAATCAAAGCAAACTGAAGCCAGCTGGTTTACTGACCCCCCCCCCCAAGCCCCCTCGGACCCCAGACCCGCGCCCAGGGGAGGGTAACCGGCTGCAGCATCGTCCTGCTTTGTAAAGTGTCAGCATGAGCAGAAAGCGAGAGTTTAAAGGAACAGGAGGCCCATTGAATATCCCACCCGGGCTTTAACAGGCTTCAGCTTGCTAGTTTGTTTTTGTTTTTTCAGCTCCGGGACAGGCTTCACTGTTAACCCCTTCTGGCCCTCTCATTCCGTGTGATTTTACAGACAGTTAACCTCCTTTTAACCGGGTAAACGGAAAGCAAAGAAGCGAAACATTATTGGTCACAAGTGCGCGTTCTAGACCCACACTGCCTGGGCTGGAATTGCAATTTCCGTACAAGGAGCAATTAATTTCCAAGCCTCAGTTCCCCAAGCACTGAATCCGAATTCTAGGCTAAAGTTTAGCAGTGGGTCAGAGGACTTGATTTTTGTTTGCACCTTTCCTACCCGAAGTACAGGACTTTCTCTTGAAGACAAAAGGAGAGGCTTAATAGAGTAATACCTTTGATCGTGTTTAGCTTCAAATGAAGGCATCATATTGTCAACAGACCCCTCAACTAGTCATAAGCCCCGCCAGAAGTGGGCCAAGATAAGTGCAAATTCTGATAAGAAAGTATGCCTCTGTATTGGGAAGCAGAAGCATAACATGTTTTCCTTAATGTAATGCTCATTTTGCTTTGCATTTCAACAATATATACCTATACACACTTAAATATGCCATGCCTACACCTTTGGTTACACTAAGTGGCTTACTCTGTCCAGAGCTTCTTTCCAACTGGTTGACTTCCTCCTTCCCACCACACTGAGGAACAGTGATTCCCTTTGTCCTGCTCTGCCAGGCATGTTTGAGTTTTAGGTGCTGGCATATCTGATCTGAGTACACAGAATATTTGCTAATTTATCACTAAAATTTTTAAATGTGGTATTTTTAAATTTTATTTTTTATTTTATGTGTATGAGTGTGCAATACCCCCAGAGGTCAGAAGAGGGTGTCAGATCCCCTGGAACTGGAGTTACAAATGGTTGTTAGCCATCACCACTGTGGGTGCTGGGAATTGAACCCCTGTCCTCTGCAAAAGTAACCTGTGCTCTTAACTGATGAGCCATCTCACCAGCCTCATAAATGGAGTTTTCTAATGGATTGGAGATGAATTTTCAGTTTTTCTCTCTGCTCCTCCCACAGCTGACGCCCTCCACCATCACCAAAAACCCAGACCTCTGTTTCAGGATTTCAGGCAGCAAGCTTCCCAAACTCTCTGCATAGTGCCAATCCCCATAATGTCCACGATTTTAGGGAATCTGGTGATGGTTCCCTAAAGCAGCCCGAGTCCTCTGCTTTTGTAGTAGGGGAAGGTGTTCCCCATCTTTGAAAAGAAGCAGTGTTTATCTCCTTACCATTTTCTTTCTCTTTTTTCCTTGTAAGTGTGTGTATGCAAATTAGTAGTATTTTCTGTCTGTGGCCACCCAATGGTGGCTATAAATCTACCTTTGTAAGTGAAAATTAGCTGACAAAATTTGAAGAGGAACCAACTAGTAATTTAGAAGTAGCTGACTTGCATTTGTTGGTCTACATCTTGGGTGCTTTCTTCCTATCCTAATAGTATTCTCAAACTTGCACACAACTGAGTCTGCTTCCAGTGGGTATTAGGACATGCTGAGGAGCCTATTGAGAACATCCATGAAGTCTTCAGTGCATGGAATCACATAGACACTGGCAGAAAGGTAAGGCTAGGGCTATAGAGAAGGCTCAGTGGTTTAGAGCACTGGCTGCTCTTACAGAGGACCTGGGTTCGGTTCCCAGCACCCACGTGGTGGCTAACCACCTGCTTTCCATACCTCCAGTATTTTTATTTTATATGCATGAGAATATTGCCTACATGTAGGTAAGGGCACACATGTCATGCAGTGTCCGAGGTCAGAAGAAGGCATCAGATCCTCTGGAACTGGTACAGGTAGTTGTTAGCTGCCATGTGGGTGCTCAAAATTGAACCTGAGTCCTCTGCAAGAGCAGTCAGTACTCTGAACTGCTGAACCATCTCTCTAGCCCCTAAATATATATATATAATATATATATATATATAAAGGTGAGGCTAGAATATGATCGAATATATTATTCAATTTAGCTCTCCTTAACCGAACCTTATCTGTAGGAAGAAGCTCAAAATGAGTTCAGAACTAAGTACAAAGGAGCACTACTGCAGGAAGTCTGGGCTGTGATACTTTGTCTTAAATGTCAATGAATAATTATTTGTAAAACTGCATTTTGCCTTCACAATGTAGCAAATATCAAAGAAAATATGTAAGACAATGTGTTCTGAGTGAGATGGCAAGAGGTGACTACTCATATAACTCTGGCTAATTAAAAGTGATCTGTTTGTGTCTACATTACTGGATCTGCCCTATACATATCACCACTGTGGCAGTATCTGTTTCCCTTTCAAGAAGTCTGCAGAAAAGGTTTCACCATCTTCCATCTGACATGACAGAAGTGTTGTAAGTTTGTTTCTGTTAAAGGTACAGAGAAGAAATAACTATTTCTTTTACCCATTGGTTTACCCTGAGCTATTTTCCCAAAGTACAAGTGAATTAGAGATTGCAAATGAGTGGTCCTTGTTCCTTATCCAAGGGGAAGATCTAGAATTTACAAGGCACCCTCTCCTTAAAGATCATACATCACATTCATTCTCAACAACATAGAATTCAAGGAGACATTAGACCTGAGTTAGCATTTCTTCAGATTTCAGACTTGTTTGCAACACCTTATCTCTACTAACCTTCAAATATCTTTTTTTACAAAGTTTTCTTGTGGCTGTCCTTGAAGACCCTAGGAAGCTGAGTGTGACCTTGCGCTTCTGATCCTCCTGCCTCCACCTCCAGAGTACTGGGATTGCAGACTTCATTCCATCATACCCAGTTTGAATGGTTATAGGGATTAAGCCTGGGACTTTATGCATATTAGGTAAATCTCTCTACCAACTGAGCTATATCCCCAGATCCCCAGTCTTCAGAAGCATTTTTGACATGTCAAAGAACAATTATATCTGAATAAAGGTACTTTCAGTTAGCTATTTCACCCTCCGTCCATCTCTAGCAATGTTCCCTAGGAGCTGTCCTATATTGAAACTTGGCTAACAGAATGCCTCGGAAAACAGTACGTTCACACAGAAAAAAAGCCCCATATGCAATATAGGGTATGGGATATCTACATTCACTGTAATCTTTTTTAAAATGATTTTTATCCATCTTTACAAGATTTGTCAAAACTTCTACCACTATAATCTGATGAGGAGCCACTGCTAGTGAATTTTTATTCAGTCCTAATGTGAGAATCTTTCCTTTTGGTCAGCTGCATTTACTCTCCCTCCTCATTGATAGGGCTAATTTTTCGACCTCTCCTGCAATTACAAGACTCATTGGTTCATCTTGGCTGACCTACTCTCAAAATCAACTTGACTTTTATTGTACTGCTGATGATATTTCAGCTTACTGTTCTTTAGAGTTTTAAGCAGCATTTTTAATGAATAAAGTATTTGAATAAAATAAGCATCAAAACAAAGCACCTACCAGTTAAAACTCACTATTGACAGAACATTTATCATACAAGAACATGTACTGTCTTTTAAGGCTTATACCAATGCTACATTTGCTATCTATCTAGATGA